TACTCCCTCTTCCCCTCCCTAGACTCGAACCTCTGACCTTGGGTAGCTCTGATATAATGTGACGGGTCGAGTCCTATTAGACTGCGCACGCAACTACAACGCGCCCACCGCGCCAAAAAGGCTGGGACAAGATATCAGAGCTGCTGATATCGTTGCGTAGTTGATACATAAGATAGCCACCGCTATCTGTACTGTAGCGGGCTACCTAGCCCGTTACAGATACCCCTTGCTCTAGCAGGCCTGCTAAGCAGACAGAGGAGGTGAAGGAGCAGATATTTTAACAAGTACGACGCGATAGATATAGACAAGAGAAGAGCTGCGCTAACCTTGCTAGTGCGCTTAGTCTCTAAGGAGTCAAAATCTCTGCCTCTACTATCTAGAGGGTATTAAGAGAAGTAGGATACAAAAAGACTAAGCTAACAAGGAAGCCTAGGTTAACATAGGAGATAAGGAGTGCTTGTCTTAGATAGGCGATCGACCACAAAGACTAGACGTTAGAGGACTAGAAGAATGTCATCTAGATAGACGAGACGTCCGTAGTGATCAACTACTAACGTAGGGGCTATAGGATCTAGAGAAAAGCAAACAAGAGAGTAGTTAAGAGCTGTATTTGTGAGAGGTGGAAGGGATACTCTAAGTTTATATTCTAGGGCTACTTCTCGTATAACAAGAAAGGTCTATGCTATATCTACTAGCTAGAGACAAAGGCAGAGAAAGAGGATACTGCTTAAAAGATTAAGCAGCTAAACGCTAAGCTTGAACCTCTACAGAGAGAGGAGTTGGAGCTGTTAGAGTCTATGAGAAGGACAGGGCTGCGCAACAAGCCTAGTAGAAAACCTTAATAGAGATAGACAGAGAATACAGGCAAGCTGGTGCGTAAGCCTGGAGGTGGTATAGGCTAGTGGAGATATCAGAACTGTATTCTAATACTAAAGCTAATTCCTTTCGCCAAAGAGTGCCTCTAAGATAGACCTTAGACTATCGTGATAGAAGATAAGGCACCTGCCCACGCCCACCACTATTAGAGTGTGATCTATAGTCTGCACGACGTCGAGAGACTACTCTAGTGTGGCAACTTGCTAGACTATAACTGTATCAAGCCGTGCTAGTTCTATATGAAGAGAGAGACTACGAAGAAAGGAGCTCTATAGTCAAGGGCTAAGGTAGTTAGAGTCTAGCAGAATTGCTAGAGAGACCTTTCTTAACTTAAGATCTAAGCTTAGATTAAGTGGATTCTTATTTATATCTAAAAGATAATTAAGCTATAAGGTAGTAACAAGTATATAGAGGAAAGAGACAAGCCTCGACTAAGGCGGCCGCACTTTAGCTGAATTATTCTTGGCAGACAGAACTTTTAAAAGGCACCTCTGTATATAACCTAGCTATTCAATAGCCTTTATTTTATGATATTTAATATAAAAATTTTTACTATAAATTTAGTAAGTATAAGCCTATAACGAAAAAGCTTTTATATATACTTTATAAGCTTAGCTTCATATTATATAGTGAGTAATTTAATATTTTTTATAGTAGCTATCTAAAACTAGGTTCATATATAGTAGTAGCGTATCAACATTAATAATATAATACTAAACATTTTTATAGCTACTTTATATAAGAGTTATTTTTTAAAATTTTATAGATTAACTACTATAAGCGCTTTCTTAATTAGAGTTATAGTAGTAGAGTTATTATGCGTTAAAGTAGGTGGGTCTATTTTAAGAAGGTGCAGATAGTGTTGCATCCGCTGAACAGTTGCACGCACTGACTACCTACAGTACTCGCACTTCGCTTTTGTGTGTTGCGTGGCATCAACAGAAGCGGACTTTCTCGGAGCCGCGTCGTATGCCCGATCAGCTGTCACAAACCTACCCGCCCCCCCTCCCAAATGTAGGAGCCGCATTCAGGGTTACGTTGGACCCTGTTGATAGTGGCGGGGGTCTTTGCAGTGCAAGGGTCCAATTAGACTGGCAAATGGGTCTCCACCTCGGGATCTCTTTTTCCACCATAGCTCTCTCTGTACTAGACCTAATTAGGCAACTAATAGCTTATTTTGTAGCCCTAATATGAATCTATAACTAACTTATATTAAGAAGTACGCTAGCTAGAGTAGGTAGGAAGTTATACCTCTTCGGGCTAGCATGTGGAGACCCAAGTCTTGGCAAGGTGGGTAGGCTAATAACTTTTTACCTACTCTAGCTAGCGTGTTACTTTCTATTAGTTAGTTGTAGACCTAAGTTAGGGCTATAAGATAAGCTATTAGTTGCCTAATTAGGTCTAGTACGGAGAGAGCTATGGTGGAAAAAGAGATCCCGAGGTGGAGACCCATTTGCCAGTCTATTCCGACCTCTATGGAGGTGCCCTTTAGAAGTTTGCCACCCCCTATGCTATAGTGGCGTGATGTCAGCAATATGTAATCAAGAAAATCGTGGTTTTGAAACTAATATCACCTAGCTGATTAAATTCTAAAAGAAAGGAAGTTGATATATTAAAAAACTAACATATAGTAGTGTAGCATAACAAACTAATTTCTAATTAAGTAGATGGATAGAGCAATTAGTAAAAATCTGCAGTTAAAGTAAAGCTTAAATGTACATAATCTCAATTGTTTTAATTCCAGTATATCTTCTCAAGTTAGTTCTATCAAACGGTTATTATAGAGTAGAAAACATTACAAAATTCAAGCATCAAAGTTAATAATCTAAGATTTTCGTTTTCTTTGGTCTTCCAATAACGAGAATCTTTAAACACAGTCTATAGCACTAGCAATAGTATAGCAGATAGGTTATAGCGAGGTACTAGTCGCCCCGTGGTAAGATAACATCCCGACAGTATGGATAGACTACGAGCCTATTGCAATAACTAGCTTCTTTCCAGAAACAGAGCCCGTCTTGAGTAAACGAACTCCCTCTATGATCCCGCTGAAACCCCCTTCCAGCTCCTGCAGTGGATGAGGACGTACTTTGCCTTCGTCAATAAGTTTCTGAAATACACGATACCAATTCACAGCAAATTGGTGCACTTCGGGGCTGGCCTCCCTCTCATAGCCCCTGCTGAGTGGGATTGGCTCCCCAAAGATGTCCAGCGCAAAGATCCAGTCCTGCTTGATAGATCTCCGCTTCGGTTTCAGGTCCTCCGAACACAGCTCCAACGTGATGTACCGACCCCCTGTGCGAGCCATGGTTGAAGCACAATACGCTGCCGACGAACTGTCCGTGACGCAATCGAGTGCGTATGCCAATCTGCCACCTGTCAATTGCTTTATCTCGTTTTGCGTGGCCTCGTCTGCGTAATCAAACACGTATGCTGCCCCGTAAGATTTGACCAGGGAAAAATTCTGCGGGGAGCATGTTGCAATGGGTGTATAACCGGACCTATCGGCCTGTTTAGCGACCGTCTTTGACCCACGAGATCTCGAACAAAGAGTGACGATCGGGGGGGGGGGGGATCTTACAGTTTGAGCAGCTGCAATGCCATGGTCCCAGAGGCAGTGCTTGCACCGTAGACGAGCACGTAGACTGGTGGGCTATCCAACGGCAACAGATCCACTGGTGACGCAGGTAGATCCATCGCCTTCCATAGCGCCAGAGCCGCAGTCCCAAGTCCAACACCCAAAGCCGCCGCCTCTAACTCGGGCATACCCTTGGGAACCAGGTAGATCAATTGGACGTGAGCTCTGAGGTACTCAGCGAAGGCCCCGTTCCCCGGCTCGGCCGGGTTCGATCCATGGACGTATCCACAGACGATATCGCCGAGTTCTAAATCCGGCCTGAGCCGAGCTGCCTCGGGGCTCATGCACACCACAGTTCCAACAAAATCAGAACCAATGATGGCGCCCGGAGTGGGAAAGTTGGTGCCCATCTTATGGTCACATTGGTTCACAGCCACCGCTATCGTCTTCACAAGTACCGTCTTAGGCAGGAGCTTTGGCACGGGCGCATCTAGTGTGCAGATTGGTTGGCCTGCATTGTCCTGGACAATTGCGGTCTGCGAAGACGGTAACGGGGTAATTGACATACCGATCAATTGCCTAGGCAGGAAAGGGGTGTGATGAAGGAACAAGGTTTTTGGTGGGCGTTTCGGGAAAAAATCACTCACCGTCGTCGACTGCGTCCGTTGTTGTTCGTGTATTCGTTTATCACAGACTACCTGCCATTCGTGTAACATCTTATACCTGCACCGTCCATGCAACTTGTGAATCTATTCGCATTTGTTCAATATAGATTCGGCCCGAGCTTGGCAAGCTCCTGTAGATAACGGCCACACCTGCCTCCGAAGCTATGTCAAATCGCACAGGCCAGCATCTGACCTTCTATGATTGGCCGGGTGTCTTTGCCGGGATCTAGACTCGATGCAGCATTCTACACCCCTACTATCCAAGTTAGCTCAAAACCAGAAACTGAAACACACAAACAACACTAGTTCTTAGCCTCCTTCCATCTTCAGTCTATTGCTTGAATTAACCTCGTCACCGCATTATCAGAGTTCCGTCTTTTGTCCGATACTATGTGAGCTAGCTAAACTGATATATCTGCAACCAGGAGCTATAATGGGCGGGCTCTATTGATCCTAGCCTACAACTACTCACGCAGACCACTTAACCAAAAAGGTAGCGCAAGTCTCAAAGCTTGTCTTAGCGACTGGGTAGTTGCGTGGATATACTCGATCGATCGCATGGAATGTACGAAGAACGTGTTCCTGGGCATCGCCAAGCCCTTAGGGCGTACAGCCCATTACAGGAGTATCTTCTGGTGCACTACTCTTGCTCTTTACTACAGTACTATTCCACAGGTAGGGTTTTCAATATATCCACAAGAAACGATATCCCTTGATTCGACAACAAAAGCTGTCAGGAGGGGGGAAGGCTTTTTGGTATACTGTCTCGTTAGGACAAACTACTACAAGCTAATCAAAAAATGGAACAAGTGGGACCTATCCCCGATCAAGTATACAAATCCAGCTAGATAAAGCCACTTGTTGAGCCCCTGATCAGCCGGAGATTGATTTAGATTATATATAGTGAGCCTTCCTACAGAGGTGGCTTTCAAAAGTTCTTGCTAAGGCGCGGATCCATCGGACCGAATTCTCGTGATAACGTTTCCATTATTTACTTAGCGTGCAAAAAATAATGCTTAATATAGTTAGTGTATTACTGTAAGTGTATACTTTAGTAGCTATTATTCTCTCCAAACTTCCATTTTAAGGGCTTTTAGTTGCGAATATAGTATAATTCTTAGTCTTCGGCTATATTTTCGGTGGTAACCAAGGAACCCCTGTCAGCAAGAACTTTTGAAAGCCACCTCTGTACTTACAAAGAGCTTACAAAATGTCGCACGGGGTAATTTGCATTGCGGTGTAGCAATTCTGCATTACTGTTCCCCACTCTGCCTGTTAGGTTGACGCGTAACAGTATCCTCTTTGGATCTAGAGTCAGAATTCAGTCAAAAGATGCTGTGTTGGCTTTAGGCTCAGGATTTTGTTCGAAAAAGTGGGTGGATGTACCATTCTTCATTACTGGGCCCCAGAACAACAGATGTCTCGTCCACTGATACATCATATCTACTATTGGCACCTTCATTTGCAAATCTATCGGGTGATCATCAGCTTCACTGCAAGTGGAATTGTGGTCTTTGGTAATGCTTACTAGAGCCAGGAGTTACTCGTTTATCTTAATCTGCTTGTGGTTAGTGCTCACATCGGCATGGAGCTTAATGTTTGACGTGGGTATTCCATGCTAGTTTCGGAAAAATAATAGTCAATAAGCTAAAGAAGTACGATAAGAGGCTTTACCTTATGTGTGTGTAGCGTCTGTCACTGCATGCCGAAAAACCCTGTGCCGAAAATGACCAATCGGATCACAACAGTGAAACGGAAGTCCATGCTCCTTTGAATCCGATTGGTCATTTTCGGCATAAGTAAGGGTTTTTTTGCTGCACAGTAGCGGACGTTAGCCCACTTAAACTGCAACCATTCAGATGTCCGTCACGTTTGATTAAGCCCAGTTCGAAGGGTGACAGATGTACGAATATACGGAGGTGACTGTCAAAAGTTCTTGCTGACAGGGGTGCATTGATTACCGCCGAAAATAGGGCCGAAGCTATGTAGATCGGTCCCGCCGCCCCTCTTTGTACTCATTGCCACCTTTAAGTTTAATAATTTCTTGAATATAAAACGGAATACGCTCTATCTAAGCTTGAATTTGATGTTGAGGTAGCTCATCCTAGTACTGTTGCCATACTTTTGTCCCTTCCGCCCGACTTTTTAGTGCGCCTCTTCGTGTTGTTTTTCTTTTAAGCCATAGCTAGGCTGCTTCAATAGCGTTGAGATTAGGTGAATTGCCTGGCCATGGGAGCTGCTCCACCTTAGCGTTTTGGTATATAGTTCTTTGAGCGTGGTGGGTATGCGAAGGTGCCTTATCTTCTTAAACAAAGACACGTGGTCTCTCTTTTTGGCACTCCTTTACGAAGGGAATTAGCTTTAGAATAAGAACTTAAGTCTAGTAACGCCACTAATCAATGCCACCATGACTGCTCTCACGAGCCAGCTTACTTGTCTCTTTTACCCATCTCCATTGTGGAACTCTGCCAGGCTTGTTACGTAATCTAAGCCTCTTCATGCCTGTTGTAAGCTCCCACGCCTCTCTTATGAGAGGCTCTAGAGCCTTATTCAACTCTTCAATCTAGAGAGCGGCGTCTCTCTTCTCCTGCGCAGTCTCAGGCCTCCAGACATGGCAAGGACCTTTGTAGTCGTACGTGAAGCAGCCCTAGAACATAAATTCAGAGTAGCCCTTCCACCGCTCTTGGATAACACTTTTAGTAAAGACTTCATCTAGGCGTCGCCACACACAATAGCTATCGCAACGGTGGTTGAGAACAACAGAAGTCTTATCTAACTAAATAACGTTCTTCTAATCTTCAAGTGTCCAATCTTTATAGGCAAAACACCACTTAAGTCTTTCCTATCTTATCTTTATTATTAACCTAGGCTTCCTTGTTAGCTTTGTCTTGTTGTAACTAGCTGCTTAAAGGACTCTCTATACGGTGGACGACGAGACGTTGTAGCCGTGAACACTAAGATCACTAGCAATATTAGCGCAGCTCTTCTCTCTCCTATACCTATCGCGGCGTACGTTCTTAAGAGTAGCGTTGTGTATTTCTTCTTATTTACAAGAGCGGCCTGCGCGTAGGGCATCTTTAAGGTACTATAGAAAGATCTTAATTAGGCGTGCGTTAGGCTTAAAGCCTCGCTAGCAGGCTCTACTATAAATTAAGTCGATCGTACGCGGCGATATGCCTGTCATTTCTGCGATTTCGCGTGTAGATTTGCCACTAAAAGGTGACTTCAATGCAACAATAAAAGAGCGGGTTGATATATCCGTATTTAGAGCCATAGTAGATCAAAAACACTCAAAAAAATGAGTATACAAGCTATCGCCAGCTTCAAAAGATTGGTGTGGGCGCCAAGAATAGTCGGGCCGATAAGCTGGCGGCTTAGCGTGGCGCTAGCAAGAACTTTTGACAGTCACCTCCGTACAGTGCTATGTAATAATATCGAGATAGTACTTTTAAATTGTACCTAATCGGTCATATTGGCTGTTGGCAGTGGAGGACGAATTGGAAGGTGTTCTTCTGCAGGGTGACATTGATCCCATTCTCCGCGCAATTCGACTTTAAGCAAACTCGACTTTCCGCAGACTCACGTAGCACAGTTTTGGCCTGCTCGTGACACCCATCTTGACACTGTATTTAGATAGCTCCTTGGGGCAGGGGAGGAGCTCGAAGTTCCATATAATCAGCGTTACCAAGATTCTAAGTTCGAGATACGCCAATCTCCGACCAAAGCAACCTCTTAATCCTAGCCCGAAGCCAAGCATAGGTCCAGCCGCGCTGTCAAATACATATTTAGCGTCAACATGATCCTCCTTTTCGGGAGAAGGTTGGGTGGGAGCTGGGACCAGCCATCTTTCGGGCTTGAACAAGTTCATATCTAGTGGATCCCACTCGGTGCGATGTTTACCCTGTTGCTTGGCCGTTTGGCAAGTTTGGGAGCGGCAATTCTCGTCGATTTCAAAACCAGGGCTTCTCATGCTTTGCGCTTGCGTAAGCATTAGAAGAATTGTGCCCTTGGGGACATGGTGGCCTAGCACTTGAGTGTCAACTACAGCCTGGCGGTCAAGGGCAGGACTCGTTGCCCCATGGCGAAGAATCTCTTCGATAACAGCATCGAGGTAGGGAATCTCTGTGCTGGTTATCTCTTCGATGGAGGGCGCTCGATTCTCAGACCTTGCTGCAGTGAACAAGGCTTGCAGTGAACGCCTCAGTTTTACCTGGGCGTCTTGGTGGTCAGCCAGCGACTTCAGTCCCCATAGCAATGTTGTGCTAGTCGTCTCATGGCCCCCGATTACGAATCCAAATGTCTAAATGCAGGGAACTTTAGTCAGCATCTGAATCAAGCAAAGTAGTGCGTCAAGTGAAGCCGAAAAACCTTGGCCGAGGAGCACTTACCTCGATCATCATTGTATGCGAGAAGTACTGCGGAGCTCTGTTCTCTTTCTCGGCTAGTTGCTTCTCGCGTTGCACCATGTGATCGACAGCCGATCGAATTGGCTGATGCGTGTCGCCACTATCACTCTGCTGCTGCTGATCTGAGAGTGTTAGATGATCCACAGCCCGCTGCAGCTCCCGAAGGATATGTTTATCTTTGATGCTCTTTGAGCGGCGCATGGAAGGTGTTAGTTCCATGAGTTTCCATGTCAACCTCATCAATGGCGAGCCTTGGAGCCTCTCGACAGCCGTGGTGAGATCAAGTGTTGCAGTTATGACAGGGTCAAGGTCTATCTCGGGAAATTCTGCAGCCTTAACAACACCATTGGTAGCATTTGTCTTTTGCAAACTGGCAATGGCTTCAGGCCCTAAGCCTTTGAGAGATTCAAGCTTGGAGCGTGTTGCGTTGTGCTCGAACTTTTCACCAAAAGCAAAGGCGTGCACAGCGTCCAGAGCCGCCATGTAGATATCGTCCTGTGCGCTGAAAGGCTGATCTCCAACTAGCTGCGCCTTTGCGTCCCACAAGCTAATGAGATAGGAGGCACTGTTGTAAATGGCGGGAGCGGCCACGTTGTGCAGAAATGACGGAGACATGAGGTCCTGGAGTAGCCTTCGGTGTGATTTCCAAACATGGTTAGTGCGCTGTACAAGGTGGTGACCAGGAAGTAGGCCCTTTAAGAGCTCGGCCAACATGTCGGATCGGTCCCACTCTTTACTTCGTCGCATTAAGATATCTTGGCTTTCGCGGAAGTCGGCTAGGACTAGAACTGGCCGAGAGAGTGGCCGAATGAACATCTGGATGATTGGCGAATTCATCCCCTGCATCTCCTCTTGAACCCATTCCATGTATGTTTTATCCGAGTTTGCTGTTGCCCCCAGCATATCCGGAATGTCGCCGAGGATGCTACGAGTAGCCTTGCGTCTGTATGGTATACCTGGAATTGGCTTTGGTAGAGCCCAGGAACGCAGGGCCCATATTGTTATGAGTGAAGCCGCCACAAGAGTGACGAGACGCCCGAGAGTAATTCCCAGAATCGGAATTTCGCCTGGTGTATCAGGAGACTGGCCAAACAAAAACATGTTGATGAACTTGACTGCTATTTGGGAACTATTTGCTGAATAGCTTTGAAGTGTCGTGGGAAGGAAACGATCGCATATGTGGTTACTTCTGTAATTATATAGATTTTCAAAGGAGACGCATGGTACTATGTGAGCTTGCATCTAGATGTGCCCCTCGTATTCGACTAGGACCTGACAATACCTAGCATGATTCGGCCCAAATTCGGCGCCCCTTCAAGTTAGATGCATAATTAGCGTACAAGGGGTAAGGTTCCTATCTGCGGCTTTAGTTAGACTACGCGCTGCTTTTAGTAGCGCGCTAGTTGTGGCAGCGGTAGGTTATTAAAATATAGAAAACGACAGGGAACGGGCTAAAACCCGAATTAGTAGTGAGGTTAGGTTTAAATAGTTACAAAGTATTATTAATAACTGTATAACTAAAAGATACTACTTTCAAACTATAGTAGATATTATTTCTCTACTAAGCCAGAGACTAATCTTACAATACTTACCTATAAGGGCTAGCCTAAGGTAATAAACCTAGAAAACCTATAATAGCTAAGTTAACTACCAACTCACAAACACCAACTTCGAGTTTTCCGGAAACCGCTAGGAAAGCACGCTATCTAGGAGAACCGACCACGAGGAATCGACTAACAGCACTTTCAACACCTGCAGCTAAGGCGCTAGCGCGCAGTAGGGAGAAGAAGGAGGCCTTCCTTTATTATCTCACGCCTGTGAGAATTTTCTCACAGAGCTTGGGCTCTAATGCCAAGACTAGAGGGGCTAATAGGAACGCAGGAGCTTATTAAAGCTCAAATTCAGCAAGAAACACAGACATATCAAAACAATAAAAATAACAAAAAAAGACTAGCCTTAAAGGACCTTAGAGGCAAAAGCAAACGACTAATGGATAATAATCCAGAAATTGAGATGGCTGAGGAGGCCTCTACGCCTTGCCCTAACAGGCAACCAGAAGAACCGCCTAGGCCTACCCATACTAGGACAAGAAGCAATTTTTCTCCATTTATTGGAGCAGTGCCAAGATACCCTATAGTAGGGAAAACACCAAAGGCAACCTCTATTGAGGAAGCCTTAGAGATTGCTAGAAACCTAGTAATCTAAGCAGCTAACCTAGCTAAAAACAACCCTACTAGGCAAACTAGTTTACTAGACCTTGTAGAAGTCTTTAGAGACTTTACAGAGAACGGTAGAGTAAATAAGAAAAACTCTATAATTCTAGGAGACTAAATTGTAAGAGGCTACGCCTAAAGTGTGTGTGTGATCGAGTATATCTATACGACTACCTAGACTTCAAGAAGCTTGAAGTCTTGTTACTGCCTTTTTGGCTATGGATGGCGTAAGTAGTCGTACGCTCGGCCCGTTGGGCCCGCCCATTACATTACTTCAAGCTACCCTAAGGGTCTAACGTTCGATTCTGGTACAGGCCAGAAGCGTTGGCTCACATAGGACACGTGGCAAGGGCCACGTGATCACGTGACAAGGGTCGCGTGATCCCTATGGGGGCAAGTAGTAGATATACTCGTACGTTTTAAGAGAGGAGGT